TTTTTCCCCCCAACTTTGGAGATATGAAGATGAAAAGAAACTGGTTCTACCATAATGTGGAATACTGGTCTTAAAATTCTTTATTTTTTCTGGTCTTAAAATTTCTTTTCTTTAAGTTTATTATTTTATTTATTCATTTCTGTGGCTGGCTCAGCCCACCCTGGTGGCGGTGCTGGTTCAGCATGTGGTGCTGGGGAATGACTTGCAGTCCCCCTGCGCTTTGCCTAAGCTTGTCTAAGCAGGCGCTTTAGGCTGCTGAGCTATCCCACCGGCCCTTAAAATTTAATATTAAGTTGAACACTAATTTTATATAAACATGTATTCTTCAATCAAATTTGATTTTTAACATCAAAACCTAGAAAAACAACATATAACTCAATTCAGCTGTAAACATAAATGCCTAAATTTTCTCCTTTAGAGAAAGTAAGAAAAATGTCAAACCGTTTGAGAATACTACCAAAGAATTTCCAGCCTTTAGGGGTCGGAGAGATGGCTCAGTGGAATAAGCGCTTCCCTGGCAAGCGCAAGGGCCTGAGTTCAATCCCCAGTTCTGCAAAACAAAAGAATTTCCAGCCTTATCTTTTTTTTTTTTTTTTGTACCAGAGATCAAACTCAGGACCTTGTGCTTGCTAGGCAGGCAATTATGCCTGAGCTATCTCCGCTGCCCCCAAACTTTGAGGGGCAGAGGTCTTTCTGAGCAGGATCTCACCTTATAGTGGAAACTGACCTTGAACTTACTTTGTAGTCCAGGCTGGGCTGGAATTCTCAGTGATCCTCTTACCTGAGTGCTGGGCCTACAAGTATGTGCCAGAAAGCCCAACTTCTAGACAATTTTTTAAAAGGAGAAAAAAAACATGAATTTCAAAAGAAACCAACCGGGAACTTAAAAGGTTGTTATAATTACAAAGGATCACAAAATGAATTAGTATCTCTAAGAAAAGCTTATGTGCTTGGGTAAATCCTCATATCTCTATCAAAGCTTCAACATGGAAATGAAAACTAAGGAAATATACTGTATACTATACTCAGATCTTTTTTTCTTTTCTCTAGTACTGGAGACTTAATTCATGGCCTTCAAGTTGACCTAGAGTCTAGCCTTTTTTTATTTTTTACTTCAAGACTGGGCCTTCGCTAAGATACCAAACTACCCTAGCTGGCCTTCAGTTTGCCTCCCAGAGCACTGGTATACCAGGTGTGCACCACCATACCTAGCTCACAGAGTCTAATGATTAAAATTTCAAACAAAACTATAAACACAGGACAAAGGGTCAATAGTAGATCAAAGTACCACTGATTTAGGACAATTGGAGAATGTACTGTTTTCCTGGCATATAAACAAATCCAAACATAAAATATTTT